CACACACACACACACACACACACACACACACACACACACACACACACTTAAATCTAAGTTGCATAACATAAACATAATTGTCTTTCTGAGTTTGTTTATTTTGCCTTATGTAATGATTCTCAGCTTGCATCCTGCTAGTGGCCCAAGGTCAATGCTGGTTGTCTTTCTTGATCATTCTGTACCTTACATATTGAGGCAGTGTCTTTTGCTAAACCCGGAGCTTGCTGTTTGGTTAGTCTGGCTAGCTAGCTTGCTCTAGGGATTCCCTATCTGTTTCCCATGCACTAGGATTGCAACTACACCCATTTGGCTTTTGTATGGATCCTGGGATCTGAACTCTGGTACTCAAAAGTGTGAAGACCCACTGAGATATTTCTCCAGCTCCTGCATTTCTTTTGAAAACTATGAAGTCAGACATTACTTATCACATGATACAGTCTTTGGCATTTTATTTATTTTTGTATACTAGATATTAATCCCTTATCTGATGAATAGTTGAGAAAGACTGTCTTCCCACAGCCCAGATGCCCCTCAGTGGAGGAATGGATGCACAAATTGTGGTATATCTACACAATGGAATATTACTCAGCAATAAAAAACAAGGAAATGATGAAATTTGCAGGTAAATGGTGGGATCTGGAAAAGATCATCCTGAGTGAGCTATCCCAGAAGCAGAAAGATGCACATGGTATATACTCACTCATATAGGCATATAATATAGGATAAACCTACTAAAATCTATACACCTAAAGAAACTAATTAAGAGGGAGGACTTTTGCTAAAAAGCTCAATTCCTATCCAGAAAGGCAAAGAGGATGAACATCAGAAGAAGGAGAAAAGAGGGAACAAGCCTGACACAGAGGACCTCTGAAAGTCTCTGCCCTGCAGACTATCAGTGCAGATGCTGAGACTTATGGGCAACCTTTGGGCAGAGTGCAGGGAATCTTAGGAAAGAAGTGGGAAACAGTAAAATCTGGAGAGGACAGGAACTCCACAAGGAGAGCAACAGAACCAAAAAATCTGATCACAGGGGTCTTTCCTGAGACTGATACTCCAACGAAGGACTATGCATGGAGATAACCTAAGACCCCTGCACAGATGTAGCCCATGGCAGTTCAGTATCCAAGTGGGTTCCATTGTAATAGGAACAGGGACTGTCTCTGACATGAACTGATTGGCCTGCTCTTTAATTACCTCTCCCTGAGGGGGAAGCAGCATTACCAGGCCATAGAAGATGGCAATGCAGCCACTCCTGATGAGACCTAATTGACTAGGATCAGAAGGAAGGAAAAGAAGACCTCCCCTATCAGTGGACTTGGGGAGGGGCATGCAAGCAGAGGGTGAAGGAAGGGAGGGGTTGGGATGGGAGGAGGGAGAAAACCATAGGGGGGGATACAAAATGAATAAAGTGTAATTAATAAATAAAAAAAAATACTGTCTTCCCATTCTGTAGGTTGTCTCTTCCCTCTGGTTATTGTTTCCTTTGCTGTGCAGAAGCCTTTTAATTTCATGTAACTAGGCTTGTCAGTTATTTCCTGTGCCGTTAGAGTCCTTTTTAGTAAGTGCTCAGCTATGGCCACCTCTTTAAATGTTTTCCTCCAACAGTTTCAAAGCTTTGAGTATTACATTCATGTCTTTGATCCATTTGGAATTCATTTTTGGGTAGGGCAAGTGATAAGATTCATTCATCCGCACGTGTAAATCAAGTTGTCCCACTACCATTGTCAAAGAGTCTGTCTTCTTTCCAATGGACGTCTTTGCCAGCTTTGTCAATACTGAGTGACTGTAACAGTGTAGGCTCATTTCTGGATCCTCTCTTCTACTTGCTTCTTTTTGCTCCAGTACCATGTTGTCGCTGTTTTCCTACTACAGCTCTGTAGCCAATGAACGTGGTATTCCTAGCATTATTCTTTCTGTTAAGGGTGGCCACCATTTGGGATGCTTTGTGCTTTCTTATGAAGTTTACATTCTTCTCCCTACTTCTGTGAAGAAAGGGTCATCGAGATTTTTATTGTAATTGGCTCTGTAATCTCCTTCACTGCCATTTTCCCATTAACAACATTCGTTCTGACAGTCCATTAGCATGAGACCTCTTTCCACGTACCATCTTCTTCAATTTTCCTCTGAGAGCTCTTTCACCTCCTTTGTTAGTTTTCTTCTTAGCCAACTTATTTATTTTTAACCTACCGTGAATGGCATCTACCTCCCTCCCCTTATTCTTTGTTTTCCAGTATAGAAAAGCTACTGATTTTTATGTGTTGATGTTTTTATCCTGTTATCTTGTTGAAAGTGTTTATCAGGTCTAAGAGTTTTTAGGTGAAATACTTAGGATCTCGAAGCTAAGTACAGGAACATGTCATTTACAAATAGAAAAAAAATTACTTCTTTCCATCCTATTTGTATCCCTTTTATTGACTTATCTCATCTTATTGCTTTAGCTAAGGTTTTTATCACTGCATTAAAGAAGAGTGGACACACTTGTCTCATCCCCTGGAATTCCAGGGAATGAGACAATTTTTCTCCATTTACTGTAATGTTGTTACAGGTTTGTTTTATAATAGTCTTCATTATGTTTATATTCTTTTTACTCCTAGTTTCTTCAGTACTTTTATGAAGTACTTTTATGAAGGAATGCTGGGTTTGTCAAAGCTCTCTTTGCATTACTTGAGTTAATCATGTGACTTCTACCCTCAAGTTTATTGATTCATTTGTTCAAGTTTATTGATTCATTTGTTCAAGTTTATTGAGTCATTTGTTGATCATACTTACTGATTTATGCTTGTCAAACCAACATTGCTTTCCTGGGATGGAATCAACTTGGTCATGGTATGTGATCTTCTTAATGTGCTCTTGAGCGCAATTGGCAAAAATTTCACTGAGAACTTTTACAGCAACATTCTTCAAGGTAGTGATCTGTAGGTGATTTGTTGTCAGCATGTCCAGTTTGGCATCAGGGTGATACTAGATTTTTAGAATGAATTTGGTAGTGTCCTTTGCCTTCCTATTTCATAGAAACATTTAAGAAGCATTGGAATTGGCTCTTTTTTAAAGATTTGGTAGAATCAGGCAGTAAATCTACTAGATCATGGGCTTTTCTTTTTTTATCTTATTAAAATACCTCCAAATTCAAATTATAATTGATAGAAAATATTTTAAATGTCTTTATAAGTGAAACACTTTTATAGTAAAAGTGTTAATACTTTTTAATTAAAAAACATGGTTTAATTTTTGTGATGTTTGTGTTTTAAATTTTTACTTCTTTTAATTTTTCTTTCATTTATAATGTTTGCACTGTCAAGGATATATCACTTTTTAAAATATTTTTTATTTTAATTTTTATTAATTACACTTTATTCACTTTGTATTCCCCTCCCTTCTCCCCTCCCAATCTCATGCTCCCTCCCCCTTCTCCACACATGCCCCTCCCCAAGTCCACTGATAGGGGAGGTCTTCCTCTCCTTCCTTTTCTTTTTTTTTTAATTTTAATTTTTATTAAT